GGACTTCAACTCCCAGAATTCCTGAGCCAGCCATGCTGAGGGGAAAGGGAGAGGTTTCCAAGCTGAGCCATGGCTGGCTCAGGAATTCTGGGAGTTGAAGTCCGCGAGTCATAAAAGAGCCATCGTTCCCCGAACCCCTGATCTAATCCAAGCCATTCTCAGTATAGGACAGTGATGGCGAACCTTTTAGAGACCGAGTGCCCAAACTGCAACCCAAAACCCACTTATGCATCGTCGAGTGCCGGGTGGGTGTGGCCCATTGAGTGGGCGTGGCCCATTGGCTGGGCGTGGCTGCGGTGGTAATGGCAGACTGGGTGGGACTAAAAAGTTCAATCAATCAATTCCAACTTTGCGAGATCTTTTTTTTCCCCGCGAGAAGTTGAAATTGACTGATTGATTGAACCTTTTTTTTTTTGCACATGGCGACGGAGGCCTAAAGCGAAAAGGTTTTATAAACCCAGCTGAAGGCCTAGGACTGGGGCGACGACGTGCGTGCCCACAGAGAGGGCTCTGAGTGCCGCCTCTGGCACCCGTGCCATAGGTTCGCCACCACTGGTATAGGAACCTACCACTTTCAGCAGCCTAATGGATGAGCAACTACCCCAGGGATCTTCAAACGTGGCCCTTTTGTGACTCGTGGACTTCAACTCCCAGAATTCCTCAGCCAGGCAGGCTGGCTGAGGAATTCTAGGAGTTGAAGTCCACGAGTCACAAAAGAGCCGAGGTTGCCTACCTCTGGTTTGGGGGGGACCGCTTGCCTTTCGGGGGCCTTTTTTTTTTTTTGCATGCCCGGCCGCCATCCCGATACCTGATCTGCGACATGAGGTAGCGCTTGTAGAAGCCGCTGCCCAGCGGCGCCCTCTCCTCGGCGGCGGCGGCAGCCTCCCCGCCGGCGCGCTTGTGGTCGATGCCGTGGCGCTTGTAGAAGCGCCAGATCCAGCCGTCGCTGGCTTTGAAGCCGAGCTTCATGTCGGCGGCGATGGCGTTGGCGGCCGCCTTCAGGTCCACCCGGCGGACCTTGGCTCCCTCGGCGCGCCGCTCCACGTACCAGCGCAGCACCGCCTCCTCCAGCGAGGCCTCCTGCGACATCTTCATGTGCTTCCGGGCCCCGATCTCGGCCGCCGTGCTGGTCGAGTCGACGTCGCACATCAGCACGAACTTCTTCAGCTTCTCCTTGGCTTTGCGGATGTCCGACACGGTCTGCTTCTTCACGCCGTACTCCTCGCACACCCGCGCCACCGACCAGCCCGACTCCAGCTTCTCGATCAGCTCTAGCTTCTGCTTCACGCTCAGGTTCACCCGCTTCCGCTTCTCCACCCCCGCCGAAGCCATGGTGCGGCCCACCGCCCCAGAGGGAGCCCGCCGGCGGGACCACCCAACTCGCGGAATGCGGGGGGTGGGTGGGGGGGGAGAGGCGGCAAGTCACTTAGGGCTCCGGCGCCGCGCCTGCGCAGAAGCGCGGCCAGCCTTCCTGGGGAAGCCGCTGTCCCGTTCGTAGCATCTCGCTGGTCAGACACCACCACCCCCCCCTGCGCAAGGCAAGGGGAAAAAATGAAGGACCGACCGGAAGTTTCTACAGCAACGTAGAGATATGAAAATATACAGAAAAGGGGCATCTGGGTGACTGCTTCCGGGTCAGAAGGGCTGGAATTTGCCGCGCAGGCGCAAAAGAAGAAAGGCTGCTGGGTCTGGAAGGAGAATCCTGGCCAATGTTCAGGTTTCCTTTATCGGTTCCGGAAGTTCGGGCTGTGTGCCGCTCTGTGTATCTATCGCCGTGGGACAGACCTCCAGAGCTGTGCTAGGAATGTGTCACTGATGGAGAAGCCTCTGGAGTGGATTCAGAAAGGGCCATGGAGGTCATCTAGTCCAACCTCCTGCTCAAGCAGGAGACCTTACTTATACCATTCCAGACCATGGGCTATCCAGTCTCTTCTTAAAAGCTTCCAGTGATGGAAGCACCTGCAACTTCTGAAGGCGAAGCTGTGCCACTGGTTAATTGTTCTCACTGTGCAGAAGTTTCTCCTTAATTCCTGGTGGCTTCTCTCCTTGTTTTTAACAGCTTGATTTAGATTTGTCTGCAGTTGCACATAGGTGTTACCGCATACCTACGCTCTGACGGGGTTGATGGGTTGCAGGTAGTTGCAGACAGTTGTGTAGGTAGGGATGCGCATCTTGAGTGCTGATTGGATCATCCTGTTGGGAGGAAGGCAAAGCACATTCCAAAGGTGCTTTTTTTTTTTCAGGAGGCAACTGGACTTTCTTGTGTTTCTTTTGAAGACGTTTCGCTTTTCATCCAAGAAGCTTCTTCAGCTCTCACTAGATGGTGGGGAGTGGAAGGATTTTTATTGCTTGCAGACAGATGGTCGTTTGCATTTCTTTAGAGAGTCCAACGACAGAGAATGAGGTGGCTGGATGGAGTCACTGAAGCAGTAGGCGTGAACTTAAATGGACTCCAGAAGATGGTAGAGGACAGGAAGACCTGGAGGAACGTTGTCCATGGGGTCGCGATGGGTCGGACACGACTTNGGGAGTGGAAGGATTTTTATTGCTTGCAGACAGATGGTCGTTTGCATTTCTTTAGAGAGTCCAACGACAGAGAATGAGGTGGCTGGATGGAGTCACTGAAGCAGTAGGCGTGAACTTAAATGGACTCCAGAAGATGGTAGAGGACAGGAAGACCTGGAGGAACGTTGTCCATGGGGTCGCGATGGGTCGGACACGACTTCGCAATTAACAACAACAATAACAACAGAGAGTCCAAATGCAAGAAAGTCCAGTTGCCTCCTGGAAAAAACCACCTTTGGGACAACTATACCTGGATGACTGAGAATCTCCATAGGCAAATGACAAAATGGAGCAGCTGGAAGAGAGACTGGCCCACGAAGTGAGGAGATACAAACATTTATACGACGTGATGGATGAAGACTACAAAAACCACAAGGTGACAGCTCATTCGTGGCGGGAAATTGGAAGAACTTTGGAGGAAGATCCAGACCGATGCAGAGAAAAGTGGAAGCAACTGCGAGACAAGTTCGTCAGGCTGAAAAAAAGAATGAAAACAAAGAGCAGGGATCCTGGGCCGGCCTACTGCGTAATGCTGTCCTGGCTGGAAGGATTTGTAAAACATTGGGAAACCCAAGTGACTTTCAACGGTGCTGCAGCTGAGGTAAGAAAACTATATCCTAATCTACAATATTTTTACATTTGTAGAGAACTGGGTGCATGGTCTCTTTTGAGCCACAAACACACTCCTTCTGCTTTTGTAGCTCTGGAGTCGACAGTAATCACCTCTGTTCTGACCCAGACATATATAAGCAAATAGCATTGCATTATTAAAGCAAATAGCACTGCACTCATAATATAGTCTGAACAGTGCTGTACAAATAAGCTCTGCTTAACTTTCACTAGATTTTTCACGCTCATTACACTGATGTCTTTAAAGGTGTTATGTATGTAACCGCGTATCTGTCTGTTTGGATAATCACTGGCACAAATTGTATAATTACAGCCTGATATCACTCCAGTTCCTGTAGGGCAGAACTCCTTGGATTCAATCTTGAATATGGAGGAGATCTCGTTCACATCACACCTTGCATCCAGGGACTTAGGTGTTTACCCATCGCACAGCAGTGATGATGATGAGAGTTCAACTAGCGTATTCGGTGTGTCACCCATAAAGGCACCAGTCACCCAGTCAAGAAAGAGGAGGGAGACGATGGGAAAGGAGGAGATTCTGGACCCTATTGTCACTGTACGCCAGGAGCAACTTCAAACTGCTACGACGTCTCCCTTGAGCCCCAATAACAGCCGTCGCAATGAGGAATGTGCAACTTTTGCACCAGCTGTTGCAGACTCTTTGCGGAAACTTCCACCAGAATATGTGAAAGCAACACAATCCCAGCTCTTCATTGTGCTTGCTGATGGAGATTCCCAAGTTACAAAACCAGGCGGATGTGGGGACGCAGGTGTGTTTTCGCTACAGGAACCGGGGCTGATTGTGAGATGGCTTGGCGGAGGGGAATGCAAGGGGCCTCCTGGAGCTCGTGAATTAAAGGTTTTGGTGGGGTGGAGAAAAGGGGAGAGAAAGAAAACACCAAAAAACAAGTTAGTGAGATCTCTATGCAAGACATGAAGGATGATGATGATGATGATGATGATGATGATGATGATGATGATGATGATGATGATGATGATAAAGTTGGAAGGGACCTTGGAGGTCATTTAGTCCAACCCCCTGCTCAGGGAGGAAACCCTATACCATTTCGGACAAATGGCTGTCCAGTCGCTTCTTAAAAACTTCCAGTGTTGGAGCATTCACCGCTTCTAGAGGCAGGTTGTTCCGCTGGTTAATTGTTCTAACTGTCAGGAAGTTTCTCCTGAGTTCTAGGTTGCTTCTCTCCTTGATTAGTTTCCACCCGTTGCTTCTTGTCCTGCCTTCAGGCGCTTTGGAAAATAAATTGTAATAAATGCTCTGCTGATTCAGATCAATGTGGTGGCAAATGAGGTCCTCCTTGGTTGACAGGTCTATCTGGTGGCGCAGTGGTTAGAATGCAGTATGATAGGCTAATTCTGCGGACTGCCAGCAGTTCGATTCTCACCAGCTCCAGGTTAACTCAGCCTTCCATCCTTCCGAGGTTGGTAAAATGAGGAGCCAGATTGTTGGGGGCAATAGCTGTGAAGCACTAGAAAGCAGTATATAAATGCTATATACAGCTAAGTTTTATATATCTGTTTGATCATTCTGAATCATTCTGGGCTGGGCGCTCAGGGTTGGCACTGCAGAATGATTGCGAGGAGACAACCGGTGGATGCAAGGATAGGATTAGCAGAGATGAGAGGGAGTGAATTCAGGAGTGAGCCGGCAGGGAGATGGGATGGGGTAGAGCTGCAAGCACGCACACCCAGACATGAAGGAGCCTTGCAAACAATATCAAAGTTTGCGAAAGGGTTCAAGTTGAATAAGGCTTTTTTTTTAAATAACCCCCAGCATCTGTTTCCCCATGGAGGAGAAAAGTGATGTATATATGAATGTCAATGAGGATAAGAATCTGCTTTACTTCTTAGATTCCACCACGGAGCAGACAGCCTTGGACCCAAGGAGTTTTTCTAATGACGGAGGAATGACTGCTAGGCTGCTCAGCCAGGTATAACTATTATTATACTCACTGGAGATGGGAAGCTTTAGAGCAGGGTTTTTCAAGCCATGTTCCACTGAATTTTAGGATTCTGCAAAAAAATGTGGTGGGGTTCCTGGGAAATTAGGGCAAAAAAAGAGAAGGAAGCACATCAAAAGGCAGGGCTTGTCGTCCTGTAAAATCACGTCACGACTATCGTGTTGCAGATGATGAGTAATGTTCTTTAGCTAATAGGCTAAAGAGGCTGATAAATCCCTGCTTTAGAGCATTTGTGTCAACTGTCCAGGTGGCATTTCCAGAAAAAGAAACTCCTGGGACATGATTTTACCAAGAGCATAACACTTTACTGAAAATTTACATTGGCACAGAAGAAGCAAAACCAGCTTTGGTTTTCCCACTCGAAAGCTTACTTAATTAAATAATAGATTCCCTCGCCCCCACCCACCGGGTGTTCACATTGTCCAGGGTGCTGCAGCTGCCAAAAAAAGCCAACACAGGGCTAGGCCGCATTAACAGAGGGATAGAATCAAGATCGTGTGAAGTTTTAATACCACTTTACAATGCCTTGGTAAGGCCACACTTCGAATACTGCATCCAGTTAAGCGAGACATCGTGTGATCTCAATTTGCGACCTTCCCTGGTGGCTTTCCCCATTGACTTTGCTGGTTGGAAGCCAGCTAGGAAGGTCACAAATGGCAATCACGTGGTACTGCAACTGTTATACATGTAGTCCTCGACTTACGACCGCAGTTGACCCTAAAATTTCTATTGTTAAGTGAGACAAATCACAAACCCTTTGTTGTCAAAGTACAACATGTGTACAATGAGATTGGCTGAGCCTCCCTTCGTGCACCCCCCATCACAACTCACAGTGACAACAAACACACAATTGCACCATGTGACACTGCAACCATCATAAATGTGAGTCAAGCGTCCAAATGTAAATCACATGACCATGGCGATGCTGCAATGGCCATATGTCAGAGCATGCACAGTCCTATTGTGCTGAGGTAAATATAGTAAACAATGGTTTATATTACACTATCTACAAATATAGGCTAGAAACAAGATACATACATGTGGCCATTCACTCCAATACACAGCAATTACAGCAGGAAATGGACAAGAGAGAGAACACAGCAGCAAAAGGCCTTCCCTTTTATACTCAGGTTCTTAAAGGGATACACACACCTGCTGAGTCATTCCGATATTGCATCTTTCATCTCCACATTACATTACATCATTACATCAGCTGTTTAGCTGTTAAATGATTATCCTGACACCGTAAGTGCGAAAAGGGGTCCTGAGTCCCTTTTTTCACTGCCGTTGTAACTTCGAGCGGTCGCTAAGCGAACTGTCGTAAGCCGAGGGCCGGCTGTGCCGAACGTTGAATAGGAATCAATGTCGACGTCCTTTGTCTGCTCAACAGGGGCTTCTGACCTTCGAAAAAGTGGCCGTGCGTTTCACCGACGAGGAGTGGACGCTGCTGGACGCAGGACAGCGGGCCCTGTACCAGGAGGTCATGGCGGAAAATTATGGGATGGTGGCCTCTCTAAGTAAGGCACCCTGGGCTTCGAGGGGGTGATGCTGCTGCAACTGATTCAGATCTTTCTCCTTCCTGGGGCTGCAACAATTTCCTGCAAAAGCAGTTCCAGAACCCGGGCCGGCCCAACTCTCCCGGCAGCTGAATTTTGCTGCACAGTTACTTTCCCTTCCAGGCCTTGGATATAGTTTCCTTTTGGGGATATTAAGTGGAATTAAGATGGCAGCTAGTTTGCCCTTTCCTCCTCTTTCCCTCCCCCCCATCCTCAGGGAAATGTGTGGTTGTTGGTGAAGGGGTTGCAAAGACCTTTCCAGGTGTTGCCTGAAAAGGTGCTGGTCACTCCTGGTTTGTCTTTGTGTGTGTGTGTGTGTGTGTGTGTGAGAATTGAGCTTTATAGAGCCTGGTTCATGAATCTGTAAATCTCTCTTTCTTCTGCTACCCATTTTCTCTCTTCCCTCTCTCTTTCTCTCTCTCCTCTTTTCCTCCTTTCTCCCCTTCCTCTTTTCTTTCTCCCCTCATCTACCTCTCATTTCCCTCTGCTTCTCCCATCTCTCCCTCCCCCTCCCTTCTACTCTCTTCTTCCTCTTTCTGTCCTCTCCCCTCTCTCCCCTCCCTCTTTCCCCTCTTTCCCTCCTCTCTCCACCTTCTTTCTCTTCTCTCCCTCTTTCCCTCCTCTCTCCGCCTTCTTTCTCTTCTCTCTCTCTTTCCCTCCTCTCTCCGCCTTCTTTCTCTTCTCTCCCTCTTTCCCATCCTCTTTCTCCCCTCTTTCTCTCCTCTCTCCACCTTCTTTCTCTTCTCTCTCTCTTTCCCTCCTCTCTCCGCCTTCTTTCTCTTCTTCCCTCTTTCCCATCCTCTTTCTCCCCTCTTTCTCTCCTCTCTCCACCTTCTTTCTCTTCTCTCCCTCTTTCCCATCCTCTTTCTCTCCTCTT